AGAAGCGATTTGCCAGTCAGAAACATAAATCTCAACCATGACTTATGTGAAAAAACAAAGACTCAAAGACCTCAGGCTGTGGAATAATTGGCCTTATCACAGTTGCCACTTCCAGAGAAAGTGACATTCTCGCTCCCAAATTGAGAACCATGAATGTCAACAAATGAGGCAGAGGAGCATGAAGACGGCACCAAAGCCTATGATACATGCTGATGTCACAGGAATGAGGGAGACCATGGTCCAGTCACTGAGTCCACGATGCCTGCACACCAGCTATCAGTCGCCTATTTTCCATGGGAATAGAAGAGACAAGAAGTAAAGGGTTATCTCTGCCCAGCTACAGAGTTTCCATTTAGGAGGACATGTGACGCTATAGAAAGAGTCAAGTTCAGAAGCCAGGGAGGGCCCTGCTCTCAGATGTATGACCTTCGGCCTGGATCCCCTCTCCCCTCAACTTATTCATTGTATGATATGTGGCAAGTCATTTAACCCCTGAAGTGCTCCATGTTTTCATTTGTAAAACGGGGCCAGTGATACCCAGCTCTCAGGTCTGCTGTAAAGGATAGCACGAGATAGCTTAGGTAAGGAACTAGCATGGAGAAGCAGTTCAATTACAGGTGGATTACATGATGATTGATTTTCCCCAAGTGTGCTGCATACATAGCACTCTGTGCCAAGCATTTTCTAGGAAAGGTACATATTTCATGTTATTGAAATATCATAACCACTCTAGGAGGTTGGTTTTAATATAATCCTCATTGTACAGATAAGGAAATGGAGGCACAGGGAGGTGGAGAAACTTGTTCAAGGTCACCCTGTGGCTAAGTGGGAAAGTCATGAACTTGAACCCAGACCATCAGTCCCAAAGGCTTCATCTTGACTCATCACTCCTCCTTGAGTCAGGTTTCTACTAAATCTAATAGAGTTGGGGCCCCAAATTACTTGATTGATGGGCAGCCCCCTAGTCTGACACACTATGGGCTGAAAATACTCTGATACTGAAACGCTGGTTCTTTTTAAAAAGTCATCGCCTGACCTCATTAATTCTCTAAACTTGAAATCCTATATGTATATTGTTATTTGACTAAGAGATGCCAACAGGTGGTTGTGCTGATGGCCATTTATGCTGTCATCCTTCTGTGGGTGGAGACGAAACTTGAACCACCTCCTATATTAAAGCACCAAGGAGTTCCAGAAAGAGTGTCACAAAGGCACAAGATGCTACTACGCTGCTGAATGCTTTTAAACAGTCTTGTCTATTTAGAAGTAGATGGCCTCTGAATTATTAATCCAGTAAGGCAAATAATTATATCACAGTGGCACCTGGCAGGGAATGTCATCTTGCTGTGACAGCTACTGCTCCAGGCTCCTCTGTTACACAGAAAATTGAAGAATCACCAAATTCAATTTCAATTCGGTTAAGCATGTTGGGCCAAATTATGAAACCTAAAGGGTGCATGTTTAATTTAGTTTCTTTTCTCTGCACACTGTATTACTAAGGAATATCATGGTGCTCTAGGCTCTAACTGTAAAATGCATCATCATCAGTAGAAAAGAGAGTGGGAGACAGGGATCTGTAGGGGCTGAGCAGGGAAGAAAATAAAACATTAGAAGACTCCCTGTGAGGCACAGCAAGCTGGAAAATCCCACCGGATTTAGGAACAGCCCCTCTCCTCCATCATACTCCATCCAGGTTCCTAAACCAGGATTTATGTGGCCCGTGAACCTTCTGAAATACAACACAAAAATAAAAATACATTCCCATATAACAATTATCCAGCGGGAAAGCCTATAATAGCCACCAGCTTTTCAAGTCCCTGAGAGGTCACACCACATGGAATCTGGTATCTGTAAACTCTGCTGTGAATAACCCATTGGGCTTGGCCCTTCTGTGAACCTGGGGAGGCCCCACACTTCCTAGTTGGTCCAACAACCAGTTTCTCTCCTGAAGCCCAGCCTTGCCTGGCCCTTTCCCTACACCAGCAACATTTTTCCACTTTCCATTTGCAAAATCGCATCTCACCCATCATTCCAACATCCAGGTCAGAAAATCTTGCCTACAAAAGAACATCTTTAACTAGGTAGAATTGACAGTCCAATTCCCTTCAGTTAACACAAGGGACAGCATGTTAAATCACTCTCCCCCTCACCCCCGTCCCCTCTCATCACCCCCTAAAAGTCTCAGCTAAGTCCTGGAAGCACAGAATCCATTCCCTTGATGCCCTGCAATCTCCATCACATGGATGCCTGAATCAAAGGAGCCTTATAAACAAAGTCAATAATGAAATGAAAACTATACAAACACAGAGGGTTATGGCAATCATTAATTATTACAACTGAGTGAGCACTTCCTGCATGTGAATTACTGTCCTGTTTGTTCATTTATCATTTCATTGAATCCTTGCAATCTACCCATTAATTTATTTATTGAGCAAACATTTTTGAGGTCCTTTCTGTTTGCCAGATACTTCCTTAGGTGCTGAGAATACAGCATTAAATGAAAATGGAAAAAAAAATCTCTCGCTACATGCTTAGATGTTAAGTAGGTATAGGTAGAGCATCAGTAAGTCAGTGAGCAAATATTTAGCATGCCAGAAGGTGAGAAGTCTTAAGGAGTGATGGAATGTAAAGTCCTGGGGACAGGCCCCACCCAGTAGGTGAACAAAGGGGGGGCGGGAGTGAGGGAGAGCCAGCCTCTGATAGGAGAGACGTCAGGCAGAGGAAGAGCCAGAGGCAACGGTTCTGGGGAAAATAGATCAGTCCGTGCAGGGAACATGAGGACAGTGTGGCTGGAGCAAAGGTAGCTTCTGTACTATAAACAACTTCCACTCGGGGAAACTGAGACTTAGAGAATGAAATGGGTTGAATGGTGCTCCCACCCAAAAACCACATGTCCATGTCCTAACCCCCAGATCCTATCATGGGGTACTTATTTGAAAAATAGTGTTCTTTGAGGTGTAATTAAGGACCTTGAGATTAGATCATCCTGGACTATCTGGGTGGACTCCAAATAATCGACAAGTGTCCTCAAAGGGACAGAGGAGAAAGCCACACAGAGATTGAAGCAATGCAGCCACAAGGCATGCTAACAGCCACCAGAAGCTTGAAGAGACAAAGAATTCCTCCTAAGCCTCCTGGAGGGAGTGTGGCCCTGCCAACCCCTTGACTTCAGTCCTCCAGCCTCCAGAACTGGGAGACAATAAGCGTCTGCTGTTTAAGCCACTCAGGCTGTGGTCTCTGTTACGGCAGCTGTGGGACACTAACAAAGAGCAGTAAAATGACGTTCCCAAAGTCACAGAGCATTCTGGGAGTGGTGGCAGTGGGGAGCAAACTGGGCTTGAATCCTGTCAACTGGACATTAGGATGCCCTTCAAGCCACTCAGCTTCCTACTGTCTTTTGTACACACCAGTGCATATACTAGCTGATGACCGTGGGGCACACATGGGGTTCCTTGTGTGCCCCCCTGGTCACAAGGCTCCCAGGCTTTGCCTGGCTGACAATCTCTCCTGAAACTTTGGATGCTGTCTCCCATTGCAAGGATGGGATTCTCTGGCTTGTTTTGTTATTTGCCCCCAGCAGACAGCATGGGAGTCAGGCTTAACAGGTCACCACAGTATCACTGTCATGAGACCTCAGGGTCGATTCCCCGGGAGTCCCATGTGAGTGCAAACAGGCACGCTTTCATGTCCTCAAGCACCCTGGCTACTTATTGCCCTGCCAATTTTCAATGAGCAGCAAAATTAGGTTTTGGACAACCTGTGCAAATGGAGGCAGGCCTCAGTCGATAGGAGCAATTAACCCCTAAATATTTAATAGACGTTGTAACTGCTCCCCCTCCGTGGCAGAGAGGCCCTGGCCAGTCTTCTGCAAATAAACAAGTCAGATGAAGAAGCAGCAAGATGTGCACAACTCACACCCCAGGCCCTTCTGCTCCAGGACCCAAGGAAACCCCAGGACAGGGCTCTGGGGTGATGACACAGCCAAGTGAATGGCCTTTTGTGTCAGCATCCTTCCCTGTGTGTACAAAGGACAAGGTCAGTGGGATACATGCACAGCCTCTTGAATGTCACGGATAGAATAAGAATGGAGGGTGAGATGCAGACTCACAGTGGCTGATGAAACTTGCCGCTGCCTGTGTGACTGCAGGCAGTGTGACTATGGGCCTGAGCGTGAGTGTGCATGTGCGTGTGAGGAGGTACACGGGAAGGTGAGCATGCAGGCATCCCCTATGCAGAGAAGCTCCTAGGTTCACAGCTTCGTGAAAGCCCTGTCTGCCTTAACCCACACACCCCCATCCTCTGCCTGTCCCCTGTGCCCCATGTCCCTCCAGCACGCACTTACCTAGCACGCACAATGGGCAGTGCCTCAGACACAAACACTTGCACTCTTTGAAAATCATAACAAACAATGAAATTTTACGGTAAAACAAACTGCTTTAACACATTTGTCTTTATATCAATGCACTCATGAAATATCTTTTGATATTATTATTTTATAGAGGCAGGAGCCCACGAAAGCTTAGGATCATGAAAGTCGATGCACAGACCTGATCCCACATGGGTCTGTTCTTGCAAGTGGGGGCTTCTCAAGAACTACGGCAGCTTACATCACAAAGGACCAAAAACAGGCACACCCAGGCTGAGTATCCCTCCCACAGGTGACCTCTTATCCACAATGACACAGGGTCTCTCCCTGAATCAGGCACACCCTCCCCCCATCTCTCCAGCCAGACTACATTCGTCCAGAAGAATGTGACACCGCAGGAACACAGAAGCAACAACATTGCTGAGGACAACGTGTGACCGGCCCCACAAGAGATAAGCTAAGTGCTGTGGCAATTCCCAGGTGTGGGCCATCAGTTCCACCTGGAACATTAAAGCGGGCTTCCACGAGGGGGCCCATCTTCTGCTCCTTTCAAAACAGGATTCCTGGTGTCTTAGCTGGCATTTCTCACATGAGCCAAGCCAAGGAGCTCCTTAAGAATCTCTAATCCTCTTACCTCCAAAGCGAACTCTCAGTCACGCTCCCCAGGTTGAAGTCGTACAGCTTCGTCAGGATAAGTATAACCTGTGAAGGGGGTGAGGAGGAGAGCAGAGGAGAGGAGCAAAAGGGGGAGAAAAAGAAAGCTTACTTTAGTTTGTGTAACAATGTACAGTGCATCTCAAACCACCCAGAAGAAGGCTCAGTGGGTCTGCTCAGTGGGTGGTTATCATACGATCAAGCAAGGGGAAAACGTATTAATTTAATGCATCCCCATAACTGGGAGCATTTATTTTAATCCTGAAGATGCTCTGCATTTAAAATAAAATCATGCCCACAGGAACGAACTGGGAATTGACAGTTGTTTCTCCACATCTGTCCTCCTCTGAGGTCAGGCAGGGGCTGGCTGGCTCTGTTACGTCCACCGGGAGATCTGAGAGTGGGCTTGCTTCTGATCCAAAGATAACTCTGATCCGCACGCTCGGGCTAAGAGGGTAAGAGGGAACTGGGCCTCATTCTGCTACAGAAAGGCTCAAAGAGATTTAGTGTTTCCATTACTATGGCCACAGATACTTGAATGGCAGGCAGGTGCCCAACATGATCTGATGCCATCTGTCCAGTGCCCAATACAACCAGACGCATGTCACCTATCATGCAGCATCTGTCCCCACCACAGAGTAAGCAGGTCATTTAGACTCCACTGGACTCCAGGACCACTTTCCTGACTCCAGTTGAAATTACAAAACCCAGAAGGAAGCTGGACTATCAGAGAGCTGGAGCTGCCTATTAGCAGTTTGCTGGAATGGCTTTGGGCTGGTCAGTCTGGTTCTATGCCCTTTAAACTCCTCCAGCTGGGAACTTGGATATAAGACATCCCCTAGCCTGCCCCTCGTGAACTTGGACAGTGGCTCAGGAACAACTCCACACCTACAAGGACTCTAAGCGCATGCGCCAGCATCGATTTTAATCAAAATGCAGGTGCCTTATATACAGTGTCTGCCTCCACGCATGATAATCCAGTTACACATAATTGTGTTTATCTAAATTTAATGCACAACTCATTTCACTTTTCTCAGCTCCTTCCCATTCCACAATTTAACTTCCTCCAGTTCATTTGCACAGCTGCCATTAAACTCTTTCCGAGATAATGAATTTCTGCTACCAAGTTGGGGCTTTCCCATTTTAGGTATCCATGTTAAATTAAAGAAAAATAATCAGCCATTATATGGAACATTTTTATGGCATTTAACTGATAATGAAATCCTCACTTTGATACTTCTTCTCATCCAGCACCCCATGGGATGGTCAGCTCTGTTTCCATTTGTTTTACATGAACTAAGAAAGAATTAGAGGCAAGGATGTGACCCATTACAGGTCAAAGAGAGTCCATGGCAAAGTTGGTGTGGGACATTCACTTTTCTACAGGACCATTACTGGAGGGCGCATCGGTCTCCTCTCCGATTGATTCCTGTGCTGGGGAGTGATGGGCTGCCAAACAGCCAGGCCAAGACACACACCAATGACACGGCTCTTTGTAGAACAGTAGGATCTGCTAAGCCACCTGTCCTATTAGCACAGCAGAACAGCACAGAATGAATCCCATGCAAAGAACTATTCACGGTCACGCAGGGGGCCTTGCCTCTCCCCTTCATTATGAGTTACCTCATTCATTAAATTAAATCAGAGGCTAATGAAGGCAAGGGACTTATCCACACTCTTTAACCAGATACTAGCAATGTGCCAGATAATTCCTGTTTTTGTTGAAGTAATACACATGCACAAACATACAACAAGTTTCGCCCCTTTATTTTACTTTACTTTTTATATGAAGTCACTCTCACAGTCGGTATGTAAAAGCACAGTGGCTATACATATGCAAACCGTCTGAAATGCTGGACAAACAAACTCAAAACTATGCTCCTCTAGGAGCTGGTCAGAACCCCTGTCTCGAGTGCTGCAGGAGCAAGGCAGAACTGCATTTTCTCCCAATATCAAGCCTGCATGGTCCTGCAACAACCTCCAACAAGTGCAAAGTCCACAGAGAAGAAAGAGATGTTGGGGGTAAGAGTTCCGCTTGTACTAGAGTTTCTAACAAATAACTGGGTCTGGGCCACCCTTCTATGAACCCAGAGCCATTCTCGTTCTATCGGTCTCCTCACCCAATGCTTGGACTTAACCCATAACCAGATCATTATGACCCCATGTAAATAGAATGAGCAAAGTAACTCCAGGGAATGTTGGGACCAAGAGACTCCCCTTCTTTCCTTCCCTCCCTCCATGTCGTCTGTCCCTACTGTGTTTCTGTGTCTAATCTCATCTTCGTGTCTGCCTGTTGGAGGATCCAGACAAACACACCTTTCCAAACCTCTGTGAATATTATTTCTGCCTTCGTGGTAGGCAGCTTCAATTCTGTCTTGGAATTCATGCGCTCTCTTGATTAGGAATCTTCACTGGCTCCCCCTGTCTAATGATGAATCCCTGACTCCTTCAGCTGGTATGTAAGACTCTTCACAGTCTGGCCCACCCTCACTCTTCCAACCACTTTCCCCCAATTCTCGGGAAACTGTCCCCTGCTTTAGCAGTCGAAGTATCTCAAGGTGCTGCAAACAAGCCAGACCCATTCTCACAACTCTGCTTCTCTCTGGTGTGTTGTGTTATTGTGTCATTGCTTGTGTCCAGTGCTCTTACTATCATCTGCATAGCCTCACTACTGTGCAGAGAATAGCTCACAATCCACCTTCTTCAGGCATCCTCCCAAGACTCCCCCGGCCATCCAAGTTCTCTCTTTTGAAGAGAAAGAGAATATAATTTGATACATAAAACACTATCTTAATAGCTTCACTATATCACATCAGCTACCTTTTCAACTCAATTTTTAACAATTTGAGGTAGGGTTCGTGTTTTGTACTTCTGTCTCCCTAGCAGGTAGGCTCAGCCTGTCAAATGTTCCTAGAAATAGTCATTTTTGAGTTAATAAAAGATCGTGGTGTTTTGGCAGTAAATCGCAGTCTTTAGAATGGGATGGCAGTAATTTTCTCTACTACCCTCATTTTACAGATGAGGAAACTGAGTCACGGAGAGAGGAAGTAACTCAAGTTTAAGTCCCAATAATGTGTGACTTTGACCAAGCTCCCCAGGGCACTATACTTCCCACTCCATGAGTGAAGCTTGAGTCTAACAGTCACTGGAGAGCAGTGATACAGAGTCTCTGGCCCCACGCCTAGTGAGTTTAATGTCAGCATTCTGGGCAGGATCCAGAAATCTTCCTGTGGCAATTGGGGGTCCACGTTTTGAGAACTATTCCATCACATCCTGATTTCTTTCCCAACCATGTACCGCAGTCCCCCCACACCCCACCTTGCTGAGATCCTGATCAAGAAGAGCATCCCTTCCTTTGCCTTGAGTTCAAACTAATAAAGAAAGCAGAGAGTAGGAGATGCAGGAGGAGGATGTCTCAGCAAAATCGCCCCTGCCCTGGAGGAAAGGTCACCACACTGAGAATTGCAGGCTGGAAGCTTCCTCTCCACTGGAGCCAGCACAGAAGGACATAACAAAGCTATGAAGACTTGCTATTATAGTCTTTACCCTTAAGACATTCTGTGTCATGCAAACAAAACCAAAAGCAAAAGAAAGCTTGGCCACTCCTGGCTTCTCTCACCACTCAGGAGGGAATTACCAGAGAGGAAAACTAGACACAAACCCACCTAACCACAAGCCCCAGGCTGCTGGGAAAATGTGAATGTGCCTCTGGAATCCCCGATGGCCTGCAGGAAGGGTGAGGGTCCATAATAAAGGCCAACTTGACTCCCCTTCAGTAGAGGTCCCCAGATGAGAGGGAACACTCAAATTCAAAGAAAAAAAGCAGAAAGAAAACACTGACTGAACCCTACTATGTGCTGAATATTACACTGGATGTGTCTCAAACCTCACAACAAATTTTTGAGACTGAGCAGATGTTATAAAATATCCCCATTTTGCAGATGAGGAAACTGAGCCCTGAGAGCTAAGCAAATTACCCCAAAGGTACAACCTGCAAGAGACAGAGGCAGCATTCCCACCCAGGGCTGTATGACTCACGCCTGTTGCACTCTAACATGATGCTTCTCCGTGCAGCAAATGTTCACGTGGGCTCTTTGTGCGCAAGGTAATTAATGAGCAGCAATGAAAAAGAAATGCCCTTGCTCTCGAGTAGTTTATCACTCACTCACATATTCCACAAATAGTTACTGAGCATCTCCTATGTGAATCAGAAAGTCACCTGCTAAACTCCAGGAATTGGGGGCAGGGATCCAGGGCCCAAAGCCCAGGGAGTGAAGATAACTTTTGATTTCTTTGTTCTGGGAGGAAAAAGAAGGAAACAGATGTGTAATAAGAAAAGAACTAGACAGATTACTGGGAGACTCAGGTTTGTGCAATAAACTTTGTCAAATAAGTAACTTTTTGGTCTAACTGGCTACAGTCCTGGAGAGGTTTTAAACAGGAGAAATAAAAATAAATTAGAATAATTACTGAGTAAATAGCACTTCCCTCCTAATGTAAGCCATATACATGCAAACACACACACATAGAGTAGTGAAGTCCCTGGGTATGTATGTGAGTGTATATGTGAATATAGCTAGAAAAGCTAGTACTTATTTATGAGAATATATATAAATATATACACACACATACACACACATAGACATATGAACATACACACATAACCTTAAATTGCCATTTTTACATTTTCTCTGAAATAAGAAACCTCTGTTCATATATCTCTTATAGCCTTTAACACATTGGGTTAAAGAGACTTATCCATATGTCTGCCTTCTCTGTTAGACTGTGACCTCTTCGAGGTTAGAAATTGGGTTTCCGCATCCCCAATACCTAGCATATGCCTGACACATGGCAGGCACTACACAATCCCTACTGGATGAATTATAAATGTATGACAATAAAAGAGGGGATGAGATGATAAATGTATGAGGGAGGTGCAGATAATGTGCTGTAAGAATCGAGAAGAGGAAGCAATTAAGTCCAGAAAATGTAATCAGCCAAGTCTTCATGAAGGAGAGATTATATGATCTGGGACTTAAAGCATGGTA